TGTTTTTTGGATGCTAAATAATGATTAAAGACTTACCGCAAACATCTAGCCATCCCTCGATTCTGCTGGGATAGGAAATCGTGGAGGCTCGACTTAGATAAGTTCGTCGTCCCATTATGACTGTGGTGGTGGGTGGGTGGTGGTTGGGGGGCGGGTGATGCTGCCTTTGGGGGGGTGGAGGTATGGATGCTGCTCTCAGCCGCTCGTTTTCTCTCTTTCTCTCCTCTCTTCCCTCTCTTCTCTGGGGTTGCTTCTGTCCCCTGGCTCCTCTCCGTGGGTTCACTTATCGTTTAGCTTATCGACTCGTTGAGTTTGTTGCTGTTGTTGTTGTGCTGCTTAATTTGAATATTGATTTTGTTTGCCGTGTTGTTGTTGTTGTTATTGTTTTTATTGCACTTGCCTTATGGCTTTTAGGCCTTACTTTATTTTATTCGTAAAAACACACACACACACACACACAAGATTAAAGATGAGAAGAGTAGGTTAAAAAAAGCGAAACAAAAAATAACAACGTCGAAAACTGTGCGTCGTCGAGTTTCAAATCGCGATTCCGTTTCCAAGAGCAGGTTGTTTTACTTCTTTTTTTTCGGCTTTCGGTTGGTTTTGTTGAGTGATTTGTTTCTTCTTGTTTTTGTGTTTTTACGATTTTACGATTCCAATTCCGATTCCACTCTTTGTTTCCACGCACGAATCCGTGTTTTATTCTCCATCTTCGCCCCCCGCTCTCAATCTCTCTGCTCTCAAGCACTGCCTCCTTTTCCTTTTCGTCTTATTTTCGGTGTTTTCCGTTTCGGCCTGTTTTTGCGGTTCTTTTGCACTTTTTTTTCTTTTTATTTTAGCCCTATTCGCAACAGCTGAGTGGCACTTCGGTTTTCGGGTTTTATCTCATCTTTTTATTATTAATATTTAGCGTTCGAAGGCCGGCATATAAATAAACGTATTGGAGTCATCGAGAAACTTTAATTTACGCGCGCCGCCGCCAGTGGCTAATTCTTTATATTTTGGTTTTATTTTAAATCACGACTCCGCCAACAACAACAACAAAAAAAGATTCAATCACACACGTGTGTGGGTGTGTGTGCTTCTGTGCTTGCGAAGCTCCAAGAATATTAACCGTTTTGCCGCACTCCCACTTCCACCGCACTTAAAAAAAAAAACAATGAATGAACTAGAGTTGTTGAAAAGATATCAGAATAGCGCTATGTTTCTTTCGGTATATTTTGATATTTTAGTTTCGGTCACTCTGAATTCCGAAGCTGTTACTTAACATTTTACATCTTACACGTCTAGATAACAATTTTACACGTTTACATTTACAGGGGGGTCAATTCTCGCCTTTGGGGTTGAATTCTCATACATAGAATGTAAAAATGTAGTGTAAAATTCATTAACAGACCTGCTTTTACCCACAGAGGAGTGTAAATTAACAGATTCACTATCGTTGGCTGTCGGTCGTTGATATATCGATAATTAGTTTGCCCAAATATCGATGTTGCGATATTTATTGTTTGATATTCTTTGATATTTTTATCTTGGTCACTCCGTATTTCCGAAGCTGTTATTTAAAATTAGGAATCGGTAACAATGAATCCAATTTGAGAAAACAATAACATTGAGAAATCATTAAGATTCGTGGGCTGTCGGGAACAAGGCTGCCACTTCAGCTTTTCCCGCCCGGGCTAAGGTTGAAGATTTATATAAGTAAATAATTACAGGAGGTGTGATAGAAGAAGAAAAAGCTTCCATTGTTTGGCGGCGACGTTGTCATGAGCGATTTGAATGTAACTAGTTCGCATTATGAACGAAAAGACCAATGGGCACACTGCACTTGTGGCGCAATATTTAAATAAATTTTAAGCTAAGTTACTATAATAAAAATGTTTAAAATATCTAAGATATGACTGAAATCATAACTTATACGTCTTATAAGGCCTTTTTTATTCGTATAAATAGTAACGTTTTAATAATTAAATTGATTAAGAGAATTTATCAAAAAAAAAGTCTTGATTTTAGTTGGAAGAAATGCACGACTATTAATCCGCTTACTCTATTTTCGACTGAGGATTTATTGGCAGCTTCCTTGTGTGCTTTGTGCAGTGTGGGCTTAATCACACGGCCGGGACTGTGCGGCTGGAAAGGGGTCGCGTTGGGGCCTTCCCGAGACCCCGTTAGCTGTTCGTGTTCGTGCTCCTTTTCCGCATTGCTTTTCCAGGAAGCTTTTTCTTTTTGCAGCCCATACAAACGACGAGCAGCCACCGACAGGTTGTACATGCACATACACCCCGCACACACACACATCGTGGAATTTGGAATTTGTCCCAGACCATGGTTCGCCCAGGATCTAGCGGGAACGAGACGGAGATAGCACATGCAACGACGTATTCAAGGTCCACCTACATACATATATATACGCACATACACAGTGTGTGTATCCATCGCAGGACACGAACTTTATATGGTGTATACATACAGTATGTCAAGAATCTGTTTACACACTGAAGATTTAAAATATTTTTTGACGGTGCATGCAAATATAACGCTTTTAGTAAGATTTTTAATATTTTTTTCAATGGATATCTATTTATTGGATAATTCTTAATGATAATATTCAAAAACATAAACAAAACAATTTAAGATTTAACAAAAAATTAATAAAAAATAACTTTTCACATTTTTGACACTGTCAAGAAACTCTTTACACAATATACAAAACGTACAGCTAAAAGGATATATTTAACAACTTAAACAATAATTTATTAATTTTAGTACTTTGTGTGCTCCCCCTTAGCATTTACTACATGCTGGATGCGTTTTTTCATGGAATTGATTAGCTTTTCGAAGAGAATTCCAATGGAATTCTCTGCCACTCTTCCAGCACTGCAGTTTTGAGGTCTGCTCGATTCCTCGGTTGCCTTTTAGCCACTTTTTTCTTTAAATGAACCCACAAATTTTCAATGGGGTTCATGTCAGGGCTCTGAGGAGGTGTATCTATAACCTTTTGGCAGTTATACAGGAGCCATGGCCGCAAAGTTTGCTCCTTATGTTTGGGGTCATTATCTTGGTAAAATTTGAATTTCGACTTTTCTTCGTCCATTAAGCCAAATTTTTTAGCACTCTGTCTCAAATTTGATTGGAGTATGGAGAGATACTGCTCAGCATTCATAGTGCTTTCTATGAATGCGAGCTCCCTGACTCCCTTGCTGCTTATACACCCCCAAACCATAACCGATAATTTACCAAATTTTACGGTAGGCACAATGTTGCGCTGGTTTAATGTGATTAACGGCTTACGCCAAACTCTGGAAGGACAATCGTTGTAATACAGCATAATTTAAGTTTCGTCGCAAAAGATGACGTCATCCCAGTAATTTTCCGGCTTACTGATCATCTCCATAGCGAAAGAATACCGCTTCTGAATGTTCACTACGGATAGCAGCGGTTTCTTTCGCGCAACTCTTGATGAGTATTTGTTCCGTAGAATCAATTGGCGCACGGTTTCGTGCGAAACGACTACGCCACATTCTTCCTCCAACTCCTTGGCAAGGGTTCTGATCCAGATTTGGGGGTTATGACGCACCTTACGCGTGATAAGGAGTTCTGCCCGTTTGTCTATCTTCAACTTCCTACCTCCTCCAGACTTTTCTTCCAGCTTTCCTTCAATTTTAGCCCGATTTAAAACATTGTAAATAGTTTTCCGGGATACCCGAAACATGTCGGCCAACTCAGCTGCAGATTTTCCAAGTTGGTGGTTAAGATAAGCCAACTGGACCACGTCAAAGGTCAATCTAGCTCCAGGCATTTTTAAAAATTGATATTGTCGCTTTTTGATGTGTGCTTTGCAAATTTCACAATAAAAAATGAAAAGAATGCATCCATGTCGATGCGAGCAAAAGCATAGGTAACAATAAAGTACCGTTTTTTTCTCAAGAAGGATCAAAACAGAATGGAAAACTAAAGTGTGTAAAGAGTTTCTTGACAGTGCCAAAAATGTGTAAACTCATTTGTTGTTGCTTTGAAGCTGTTCCTTTGGTTGTTTTGTTTTTGTTTTTGTACATACTCATTAAAAATAACCTATTTATTAGTTGTGCATTCAAAAAAATCAAAAACATTTAAAAAAGGCGTAATTTTTCCATGCAAAGTCAAAAAATATTTTAAATTGTCAGTGTGTAAACAGTTTCTTGACATACTGTATATACAAGCAAAGAGAAAAATGTGGGTGGTTGGCATGAGGGCGGCTTTCGTCACTAATGGGCGCCTTTTGGGGAGATTATTCTCCCAGCGGGAAAACAGCTGACTACCCGCGTTGCCAACCAATGAGCCATGTGTTGGCAATATTCCGGTTGGGCAAAGGGTTTAAAACTGGTTAAATATATACACAACTTTTTGTAAAGGTCCTTTTTAAGCCAGTGTATTCCCTTGTGGAAAACTGGCCATATATAAAAGAAAACGTTTGGGACGCTATCAATTTAGTTGGTCAGTGTATTAATATTAATGGGTGGCAAACTGGGATAAGAAAACGAATTTTTTTAACCTGGTTCCCGTCCATGCTATTCTTATTGGCCTTAGCAGGCAAAGCAGTCGATTATCGATAACAAAGAGTTTTATTACTCTCCCATTTATCGCTCTCCCGCTCTCACTCTCTCGGCTCTTGAACGCTTCAGTTTTGTCAATTTGACTATTTTCACATCTATGTGGGATATACTATTTAATAGCTGCTAGTGGGGATTAAATTTTAATATTCCATGAGAATTTGGCAAAACGTTAGCCTTTTGATAACATATGTATACCTTTAACGATGCCAGACATGTGGTATTGCCCGGTGTCAGTACACATTTTTGTTATATGATATTATAAATGATACTTAAAATAGCTATTTAAAAGCTAGTTTAGCTATTTATCGCGACCCGCACAGCTCGGCACTCGAGAGAGCCCGCTCGGCAGCCTTCGTCTCAGCTCGGCTCCGTGGAAACCTATAAATACGAGTGCAAGCGGCCATTCGGGAAAAAATTTTTTTAACAAACTGACGTGACTTCCGTGCCGCTTCGCCGGGAAAACGGAAAAATTAAATTAAAAATTTGCAACGAAGGCGTTGTGTCGCGGCTAAATTAGCAGGAAAATCGGGGAAAATTAATGGTGAATCGGCAGTTGACTTTTCCGTTAATCGGTGCGTCGCCCAGTTTGCCGTTTTTTTGTGTTGCCGTTCGTTCCTCCACGTTGTTGGCGTCGTGTACGTGTCTCGCTCTCTCTCTCTCTCTCCTGCTCCACCGCATGCAAGAGCGACGACGAGCAGAAGCAGCAGCAGCGACGTGTGTGTGTGCGTGCGCGTGTGTTTGTGTGTGGACAGCGCAGCGCAATAGCTAAACATTTTTTTGTTTTTTCGGGTGGCAGAAGAAGAAAATGCGTGCGCCCGTGTGCGTGTGTGTGCGTGTGCAAAAATCAATATAAGGAAGAGAAAAAGCACACGATGAAAACATAAAAACAAAAGCATCATAAGCAGAAAGCAGAAAGCAGAAGGCGAGGAAACGAAACAAGCGGAAAAGAAACAGTTATTCCAGCCATGTCGCTGCAAACGAAGCGCCAGCACTGCTATCTGTGCGACCTGCCCCGCATGCCCTGGGCCATGATCAGCGACTTCTCGGAGGCGGTATGCCGCGGCTGCGTCAACTACGAGGGCGCCGATCGCATCGAGGCGGTGCTGGACGCCGCCCGCCAAATGAAGCGCCTGCATCCCGCCAGCAAGCGTGCCCACGAGAACGGTGAGGTCTCCTCCGTAGCGGCCGCCGCCGCTGCCGTGGTCCTGCAGCAGCAACAGCAGCAGCAGCAGCAACAACAGTTACAAGTTGGACCCGTGCCGGGTCCAGGTCCGGGCTCCCATCGCGGTGCACCGCCCGTCCCTGGGCCGGGTCCCTCTGGCGCCGGCGGCCCCCTGTCCCTTGGCTCGGCCGTGGCCGCCGCCGCCGCTGCCGCCCACCATCATCATCAGGCCGCCGTTGCGGCCGCCTATCAGATGCCCGTACCGCGCATTGGTCCGCCATTGGATTATCCCGTCAAGCTGGAGGATGCACCCGGCGGCGGTGTGCGGCCCGTCCGCATCTCACACATGACACCCCACCATTTGCCGCCAAATGCGGCGCGACAGCCTTCTGGAGGCGCCGGCGGCGGCGGAGGAGTACCGCCGTCCAGTGGAGGCAGCAATCTACCGCCCGCTCTATCCGTCAACCTGAAGCGCCCGCCCAGCGAGGACGTCGACGTGGATGTGGCCCAGCAGCAGGCGCAGCATGGCCTGGCGCCGGACGGCACGACATCGCTATCGGCTGTCCAGGGTGGCGCCGGTGGCGGTCCGCCGGGGGTCAAGCGTAGCGCCATGGATGATCCCGCCGGAGGTGGAGGTCGGCCGCCGCTAACACGCGGCGAATCCCTGCCGGCGGCGGTCAGCTATGTGCCGGAGCGACAGCTGGGCGGCCTGCGGGACAAGCAGCAGCCGGTGCGGGCGCCCAGTTTCGATGCCTCGACCTTCAAAGCAGGTGAGAGAAGAAGATATGGAGGGAAAGAAGGAGGAGTTTCGTTGTCCAAAGTTCAAGGCCCCTCCCCACCTGGTCAAGCTACTTGTACATATATGGGAATCGTGGACAAGTCACCCTTTGGTTACGTTACATTGATGCATATTTAATTTTCCTATCGATTCCAAATGCTGTTCGAAATCAAATGGACGAGTGTGCCATAATAAGCTTCAAGAACTTACAGATCTTAACAATAAATCTATTATTTCAAGAAATCATGAAATATTGACAAATGTAATCTTGCAAAATCTTCACTTTTGATTAGTTATCAGGCTAAGCTGTATATATTTTAACATAATATCGTTTTACCTACTATCAGCCCCACTGATCAATCGAATTGCTGGGAGAACAGGGTTGTTCCCCAACGATTACCCTGATAGCTTCGTCTGGACTACAGTGATCTCTCCCTAACAAGAATCTTCTCAAGTTTAATATCTAGAAACTGTGTAATCCAGGACAAAAGAAATCCTCTGATATTTACAGCTCAATAAGAATGCTTTCTCAGTAAAAAATTCTTATGAAATTAAAGGAAAGTATTTATTATTAGGAATTTTCCTTCTAATTTCTAGAAATTCCAGTGAAATGCCCCCCATATCTAATAAATAGTTTACCCAAGGTATAAATTCTTTACAACGAAATATGTGAAATGTAAGCCTAGCTCAGGAGGCGCCCACTGTATTTGTTTACCGTTGCCCGAGTGGAGAGTGGAGAGTGTAGGAAAGTGGAGAGCCTGCGATCGAGGCAAAGAAGAAAGGGATTTGCTGGCTATCCTGCTCTAGCTGGTGCTGGCGCTGCTTCTGCTGCTTTTGCTGCGGTGGGGGTGCGAGGGGGGAGCAACGAATGTTGCCGATAAGGCAGGGCAGCCAAACTGGCACATAGAGATATTCAGGCCAGAATGAAACAGCGTGATTGCCTCTATTCCTTATCTCCTGGTTAGGAACCCTACTATCAGTGCGTGTGTATGTGTATGTGTGTGTGATAAGCAGAGCGGGGTGCTGAGATTAGATAACGCTGCTGCTGCTGCTGCTGCTTATCAGTGCTCGGCGCTTATCTTGCAGATGCGTGTGTATGTATAACACACACACACAGATACGAACAGTAAAAAGGCCGAAAAAAAGGCAAGGCAGGAAAATAAACGTTAGTTGGAAACGCATTTTGCAACCCTCCGCCGAACCGAAATAAAAAGGGGCTGCCAACCCTTGCCATTAAAAGGCATGCGCACATCCCGAAATATATAGGGAAAATATACACACTCCCCACATATACATATGTACAACATATATACATATATATACTATATATGCATACACACACCTACATATATAGTCACATCCACGTTCGCTTACATGCACGTACGTAATCGTAATTGCAAGAACAAAAACGCAAAAAGCTAAAATACACAAGACGAAACGGCAGCAGCAGCAGCAGCAACAACAAAAATGCCGCAGAATGTAATAAAAACAGAGACGTGCAAAAATCGACGACGCTGACGTTGTAATGTTCTCGCTCTCTTAGTTTTTAGTTCGCTTGCTCGCTCACTCACTCTTCCTCTTCTTTCCAAACTGGTTTTCTCATTTGTATGTGTGTGTGTGTGTGTGTGTGTTGCCTTTTTTTTCTTGGCTGCGCGCGCAAAACGTCATTAAACTTGTTTTGGTTTTCGCTTCGGCTTCTTCTTCTGCCGTTTCTTCCTCTTCCTTCGCTGCTCCAGCCTTTTCTGCGCCGTTTTACGCTATGCGATAACAAGTTGCACACACATACACACACACACACACACCAGCTAACACGACACACATACACAGCTAGCAAACGAACCAGAGGGTAGATAAATTTTAGTTGGTATACGAATTACGGAACGAGCTGCAGTGACAAAAGCAACAACACTCCCCAAAACAAGATGAAAAAGCTAAGGAGAGAAAAAAAAACAACATTTTTTTTGCTCATACCGATGCCGTCATCAAACAGTGGGGCAAATATGATTTTAGGAGACAAAAATAAGAAAACCTGAATCAATAGTAAATGTAATGATTTATTTTACTATTTTCTAGATTTATTAAAAATGCCAAAAATGGTTAAGCTTTCTCAATATTAGTTTAGGCATTTAATAGAAAATTTGCAAAAGCTTAGGGAGTTAAAAAAAATTAAGAGCACTAAAACATGTTGAACGGTATTATATTTTTCCTTTGGAGCTTATAATACCCGCCCACTGTGCCAAATTTGCTTTTTGTTTTGTATTTACGTTACGCTGCTGCTTCTTCTTCTTCCTGTGTGTATTCGTTTCATTACCAAAAAAAAAAAAACAAAAAAAAAACATACCAACTTGGGTACATACACATAAAAATACATATATACAAACATATATATGGCGTTTGTGTATATACCAGAAATATAACAAACATTTTCTCGGTGTACAGAGGAAAAATTGTACAAATATATATATGTATATGTATTTTTGTATGAAATGGAACGGCAACGTGCGCGCGCCACCCCCTCCCACTCCACTCCCTCTCCCACTTCACACCCTCCTTTTCGTTTCGTTTCATTCAGCGCTTCGTGTTGCCGGCTAAGAGTATCTGTGTGTGTGTGTGTGTGTGTGTGTGTATCTAGTTCGTATGTATGTATATATGCATTTACTGACTGACCATTCCAATGCGTTCGCCAGGAATTTGTTCGTGCTTTCCATTTGGTGCAAGGAGTGTGCAGTATGCCGGGCAGGAGGGTGTGTAGAGCACCTCTCCCTCTCTCTCTCTCTCACTCCTAATTAGACATTGCGTGCCTCGTTGCAGCTGCAACAACAGCAGGCCATGCCAGTAGCAGCATCTTCGGGCAGGTCGGCGCAGGGAGTGCGAGCGGGATGGCTAGCTGGAGTGCGCTTGGCCGCTCTGTTAACCGTTAAAACACGTGAAGTCGATGTAGCCGAGGCGCTGCTCTCAGCCGCTGATTAGATACAGCTGCGGTCACGCCACTAGTATTTCTTGTTACCAATAAAAGTAATTCATTACAATTACAGTGAATACAGTGAGGCAGAAGTAATATATGCAATTTTATATAGAATGTTTATCATATTGTTAAATTATAATTAGATATTTTTCCATATCCGTGAAGTTCAATTAAAGCCAAGTTAGTTGAGTGGAGAATAGGGTATTTAATGCTATCTTTAGCCTTTCTATTTGCTATTCCCCAGATAGTGTCAATGAGGTTGGCACTTGGTATATGCGTAGATAAGCAGCGATAAAAATTATCGGCCCAGATTGCACCAGGGACTGACTGGGACTGTGACCATATCTTATCATATCTCAGGAACCCGACCATGTGGTTAGTTGATAAGCAAAACAACTGCTCGATAAGGTACCTAAGCCCCAAAACATGCGACCCACAGAGCAAGTAGACGGAAAGAGCAGCGTCCTGGCATAAAGTTGCCGCTAAAAGCCAGATATGATATACAATCGTCGCTTTTTTGTTTGATAACTGAAAACTGATCGATTATTGATGGATAGATGACGGGAATGGTATTGGTTTGATTTATCAACATATTCGGAAATTTACTTCATATTTCTAAGATTAAAGTTATTGTTAGATGGAAATTTTGTTTGTTTTTTTACTGCTTTCCCGATTATAAGTTTTGAAATAAGTGATTCAATGTATTGTTCTATATATTGAGAATTGTTATAAAAGATTAACTTCTTGGAACTTCAAATTAATCTAAATGTTTCTTGTTCCCAAGAATTGACGAAAATTTTTGAAATTTCTATTAAATCACTATTTCTTGAAGAATTTTTTTAAAACGTTGTTAATCGAAATACATTTGAATACATAATATCTCTTATATCCTTTAGATCTTAAGCTATATCCAGTGTGACCAAGTGGCTTATCTTTTGCGTCCTTTTTCCCTTCCTTTTCCTGATTTGGCCTCTTTTTTTCAGAGGTTCTTGATCTCTGTGGGTGAGATCATCCCGATTTTATGTCTGTCTTCTGATAAGCTCACTTTTTTTCGGTTTCTTTTCATGAAAGCCGTCGTGCGATAAGATGAGATTCCGGAGGGGAAGTTTAAGTACAGGGTACACAAGATTTCGATTTGATATTCCATTTCCTTTTCACGTCCATGCCACTTTCGTTTGCTCTTGGCCGCGCTTTATGCACACAGCTGTTTTGTTTATCTTATCTGAAATTGTTAAGTGGCCGATGCCGTCCATCGGGGTCCTACTCAAGCCTATCTTATCAACCATGGCCAACTTTGACTGATAGCGACGCACTGTACCGGGTCGCAATACTACTTATTTGTCTGTCGATTTACATTCCCATGCCCCATGCCCCATGCCCATCGCCGTTAAGGCATTTGTTTATTTTTCATTATATCTCTCTCCTGTTTCTTGTTAAAGTTTTCTACTTTAAATAAACACGAATGTAAAATGCCTTTGAAGAATTTTGTTGTTGTTGCGGAAAGCTATTGGATCCCACTTGAAATTGTATTTCCACTTGGGGCAATCTTTCATTATATTGAAGCACCGAACCTGAGCCTAACAATTTCCCTTGAAGAATTTTTAAATGTAATACCTAAATAATACGGTAACCTATTAAATGTCATATGGATCTAATAACTACTTAAAGTAACTTACTACAAAACAATAAAATTGATAAACATGAAATGCCTTGATAAGGTTTATTTATAATCACGCATGAAAAATATTTGGACTTATCAAAAAAGGAGTCCATTAATGAAATTTGGCTATACATTTGTGAAATACTTCAAATAATCTGTTATCAAAATTAAATGGGAACTGTGATGCAGGATATAATCCAGATTCGTAACCGTAATTATCACATTCCTTGGCATATAAACAATCTACAAGTTGGAAGTACTCCATATTATTTGAGATGAGTGGAAGCTGTGAAATAATATGTAGAAGGTCAGAGTCATAATTCCGATTACGCACCAAATATTCGATTATATTTGTTGTTTCGTAAACAATTGCTCTTCCCCAGGGGAAATTCTCCTTTCCAAGACCCATGAAAAAAGAAGGACTAAAGAGAAGTTAAGGAACAAGGGGATGGTGCAAGCATCCATTGGGTGTGGTGCTTGCTGCTGTTCGGTTTCATTCATTGGAAGGCAACTACAAACAGCATGGTTCTCTTTTCAAATACACACAAAATTGTATAAATATTTATTTGTTTATACTTTTCGCCCCCGGTACTATACAGTTTTTGCTCTAGCTTGAACATTTTTGTAATAAATTGTCAAATGATTCATTCTAAGCAAAAGTAGTGCGAAAAAAGAACACAAACTATAAACATTGAATATCGCAAAAATATTCCATAGACAGGCAATATGTGTTGTGAGCACAAAAACCTAAACTAATCTATAAATAGGTATCCTCACACTCGGGTTATACGGAGAACTCGGATCGCACATAGCGCGAAATTTGTTTGTTTTTGGTTTCGGGCTCCCAATGTATGAAAAACAAATAAACATTGGGGGAATATCGGATGGATATACACATATATATGCACTGTAGCTATCCGCGTGTATATAAAAGTTGTTTCAAAAATAGATTGCACCGAAGTTGCAAGTCAAGTGAAGTTCGAATGCAGTAAACTGAAACTCTGATTACAGTGGGTTCGCGGGAAAAAACAACATGCTAATGATATGCATACTCTTACAAGAAAAATAATGTGTAGTACTGGGAAAAAATTATAATGATTTAAAGTGGAATTCACTGCTTAATGAGTAATATCATACAGATAGTTTCTTAGTTTCTCAGATTCTGAAACTGATTCGGAAAGAGTGCATAAATTTTTCAATTGAATAAAGAAAGGAATTATAAAATGGAATATAAAAGAATAATAAATGACTGCTAGAGGTTTGACTTTTATTGTATACATATTATCCGTTTTCCTTACTCTTAACCTCCTACTTTTGTCTGCATTTTGCCCACTGTGCGTGGCACTTGAAACTGTATGTGGCGCGTGCATGCTATCTCCCTCCAACGCACTCTATCTCTGCATTCTTCTCAATGGGCCACGCACATGCAGCTGTGCCACTGTGCAGGAGTGCGACAGGGCTTTTATTCGCCTGTTGTTGGTGTTCTCCAACTCTCCACAAGTGTGGTACAGTGACCCTTCGATAAAGCTAAACACTTGCAACTTTTTTACGTATACAGATACATTTACATCAAACTTGTATCTTTGCAATTTGTAATTGTTAAGCGGCTGTGTGCGCGTTATATTTATTTTGTGTTATTTTGCCAATTGTTACAGTGACCCACGGCGTGATTTGGTGAATTATTAATTCACTGCAACGGGCGTGCACTGTATAAACAAATGCTATAAATACACACGCACACGTACATACGAGTGTGTACGTGTTGGGGCCACACAACATGCACGATGTCTTCCTCCTACAACACCCCACCCCACCCCGCACCATTTTTGCATTTTTTCCTTTTCGTTTTCGCCTTTTGCCAATTTAGCGAACACAAAACGCAAACGCAAGCAACAACAGCATGTGAGCAACAGTTTATCAAATAAATAAACATAACAGCACACTGTCGCATATGTGTGAGCTTAATTTCGTATGCAGCCCACTGTGCGCCGCCGGCAAACTGACAAGCGTCGACATTTGAGCAATGTGCCATCGTCCGTTGGGCATACAAATTAAATTTGTTCGTTATTTTCTTCTTTTCTTACCTCCCCCTCCCCCCAAATCCCCTTTTTCTCTTTATTCGCTTCTTTTATATGTACTATTTTCGCCTCTTCTTTTTTGCTTTCAATATCAAGCAGCTACGCGTGCGCGTGCACTGCATGCAAAATAACGAAAGTAATTAAAAAAAAAGGAAAAAAGCCAGTAAGCTAACAGCACGTTAACAGCGCAACAACAGAAAAGCGCGTGACGAGCAACAATAAAGCAAAAGCTGAAGAAGAGGCAAAGGCAGAGGCAGCAGCACACGACGAAGCACAGTCAAAACAAAACTGCAAGAGTGTGTATATGTGTGTGTGCGTCTGGTGTACATACACATTATTGCATGCCTGGCATGCAAAAAAATAACAAAACGAGTGAGCGAACGAGAGGGAAAAGCCCGAACCGGCTGCAGCTATCTCGCCCTCTCTCACTCTTACGGCTGTGACGTATGCGCAGCAGCAGCTAAACTTGTTTCGTTTTGTTTCATTTCGCCTTGTATCGATTCCATTTCGTTTCGTTGACGTTGAAAGATGAAGAAGAAGACCAACTGGGGGCCGAAACGGTGAAATAAGAACAAGAATGACACGCAATCGTGCCGCGGCTCGTGACGTCACATTTTATGGCTAGCCGGCGGCTGGTGAATGAAACTTGTTGTTTTTGTTTTTATTGTTGCTGCTGCTGCTGCTGCTGCTGTCGCAGTTGCTGTTGTTGAGCCGGTATTGCTGCCGTTGCCAAGTATATATGGAGATGTAAATATGTATATGCCTATGTAATTATCTATATACGTTTGTACACTAAAAAATATATACAGCAATGGTAAAATAAGAAATAGCAATTTCATGATAAAATTTTTTTTTTAAAAGTCTATGGGAATAGCAAAATTTTTAATAAGATTTTTACATGATCTTAAAGATAATAAAAAAAAATACATTTTATCATGAAACTGCAAAAATTAACAAATATAATAAGTTATAAAATACTATCCAAACATTTGATATATAAAATTATTGTAAAATATATTTTTCACGTAACAATTATTATTAGAAATTTGCTTCAATTTTCCTATTAATTAAATGCTTTACAAAAGCGCTATTTTTAGTACCATGACTGTGTGCCTATATGCACGCACGCACACACAAAAATCTAGAAACATGTTTCGTGCCAAGTTCTAAAATTACTCTGACGAAATAACAACAATAACAAATGAGAAGAAAAAAAAACATGTGCAACGAATTTGATTCAATTTGTTTTGTATTCATTTGCATGAAAATCGAAAGCAGAATCTCGTTGAATGAAAGCGGTTCTGCTTCTTTACTCGATTTTGCTAAATATTTACATGACTTACAGTGGTATCAATTTAAAAGTGAGCCTAAGAAAATATACATATAAATAATATTAATGATCATAAGGATTTGATCACAATTAATAATAATACTTTACGAATTGTGTGACAAGTATTATTTCATCACGAAGGGGGGCTTGTCAAATCTTTAAAATGTCTATTTAAAAATTGAATATATGCCGTCTGTGGTGTCATTATGTCGACCTTGACTGTATAGGCAATCGTTGGTGGGTGTGGGTATATTTATTTGGGGCCAAGGCCCACTGTACATTGCACTTGACTCAAGAGTTTGCGGACCTGTATTGGGTTGCAACAAGAAAGATGTGTTCATTTGTTCACCAGTTCAACTGTTCATTTCATTCTTTGATCACCTTTACTGGGAATGAATTAGAAAATGAACAAGAACAAATTGTTCTCTAGTCAACTTGTTCACTAGATCCTTTGATAATTGATTCATTCGTTTACTAAAATGTGAAACAGTTTAGTCGGTTTCCTTCTTAACTTGTCCACTTGTTTATTTCTTTACTTGTTCACTAGGCTCAATGTTCACTTGCTCTCTTTGTTATTGGCTGTTCACTTGTTCATTCTTCACCCTAAACAAGTACGCTTACAGACCAGTCCCTATAAAGACTAAAAGACCCCGACTCTAACATGATCCTTCCAAATGACCATCCCTAATCCGATTCCAATCCATCTGTACATTCCAGAGCACATGTCCCCGGCCAGTCGACGCAATGGATCGAGTCCGCCCTCGGGACCGCTACCACCGCGCAGTGTACACTCGCCGAACAGTTCGGGTTAGTTTTTCACACCTCCTTTTTGTTGGACACTTATGGGAAAATACAGTGGGGAAAACTAGTTCTAGTTCTGCTAGTTCCCAGCTGATTTGAAAGCTTAATTGGATTCTAACAAAGTTTTTCTTCCTTGCAGGCTCCTCGTCGGGACGTCGCTCATCCGGCTCCCGTCACGTGTCCAGCACCACAGTTACCAGCTCTGAGGTTGGTGGCTCAAATCCCGGCCAAGCAGTGGTGGCCAGCGGTCTTGGCGGCGGTGGTGGAGGTGGAGGAGGCGGTGGCGCCGCTGGAGCAGTTTCCGCTGGATCATTGGGCGGACCGACAGGCGGGGGCAGCGGACAATTGAGTAGCTGTACCAGTGGCGGACCAGGTGGCAGTGCCGGCTCTGGAAGTGCCGGAGGAAATGGTGCCGTAGGTGGTCCCGGTTCGATGGCGCAAAATGCGGTGACGGGCGATGGAAGTCCGGCCGGCAGTGGTCCATCCGGTAGCAATGGCAGCGGTGGATCCGTAAATCCCGGTCCGGGAAGCAGTGGCAGTCAGGGCGGTGGTGGCACATCCTTGGCCACTGGCGGTTCAGCGGGTGGTGGCAGCAGTCTTGGCGGAGCACCAGGCAGCAGTGCCGCATCCAATTCAGCAGCGGCAGCGGCGGCAGCAGCCGCCCAAAATGCCACGCTCAAGTGCACCCTGTGCCAGGAGCGTCTCGAGGATACGCACTTTGTGCAGTGCCCCTCGGTGAATCATCACAAGTTCTGTTTCCCCTGCAGCCGTGAGAGCATCAAGCGACAGAATGTGAGTAGAATTGCTATATATATCCTACTGGATGTCTGGATATAATCGTACTATTTTCCAGGGTCTTGGCAACGAGGTGTATTGTCCCAGTGGCGATCGATGTCCATTGGCCAATTCAACGATACCGTGGGCCTTTATGCAGGGCGAGATCACCACAATTCTGGGCGAGGAGGTCAAGGTGAAGAAGGAGCGCGAATCTTAATGTCCATTTTACTGTAAGAAGCTGCGCAGAGCTTTGGAGCACTTTTGAGTGGATGAAGCCCTGGGAAATTGGGACACTACGAACTGCGTAATGCTGTTGGGTCTCCAAATCCAATCACGGCGCATCCTCCTCAACTCTCTCTTGGTTGGATAATCGGCATATTTTTGGGATTTTGCGGATGGATTTGATGATAACAAGACAACATTGGAAGGCATTGATTGGGAGGAGAAGCAACCGATTTTTATTGTGGCCACGGCATCATTGGCGAGCGGAGACAACCTTTTGTGCTCTGCATTTTGTCCACGACGACCGACCAAACAACAACAACAACAAAAGCAACAGCAAAACAACAATTTTGTAGGCGTAAGCAACAAAAAAAAAAAAAAAAGAAACGAAAACGAAGCAAAACAAAGCAGCAAGTAAACCGCTGAAAATCACTTACAAGAAAATAAAAAAATACAATTTGTTACAAGCTAAACTCATGAAAATGAGATGAAAAAAAAACAAAGAAAAACAACCACAACAAAAACACCAACAGTTTTCGTAAATGAGAATCGAGCAGCGAAAATACGTTGAATGCCCATTTTTTGTAGCATATTTATAGGCGGCGTTGGGAGAATTTGTCCAAACACCAAGCAACAAAACAACAACACACCATAAAAATTAAACAAAAAATGAAAAACAATTGCATACGTAGCCAAGTGAGAAGATAAAGAGAATGTAGGATTGACGAGGAAGAGGAAGAGGAAGAAGCACCGTACCGAAACAGCAAAAAGAGAGAGAGAGAGCATGCAAAACTTGAAAATCATTTATTAAATACACAAAGTAAATAAATTAAAACAAGAGCATGCGGAAAATGCACTTGCGCTCTGGCATTAGATATAAAAAATCCCATTTTTTTTTTACATAAAACCTATATACATATAAAGATATATAATATACGATAACTATAGATTCTGTTATGTAGGCTCGCTTGCGGGCGACTTAAATCGATAAGTTATGCTTAGTTTGTACTAATTAATTAATTTATTTCTATACATGTTGTCTATTTTACAAAAGTCCACATTATTTTATCCCCTCCCTCACTCTATTTTTTTTTATTATTATTATTATTATTATATATTTTATTTGTATTTTATATAAATATATGCCTATATATTTTTTGTATTTTTAAACTAATTTAAATGAACACAAAACTCACACACACACACACACGAGAATGGAAAGGAATGATGTGAGCGAGAAAGAAAACAGTTATTATGCTAAAGAATTGTACATACGTATGCATACCACATAATCGGAATATAAATATATACATATATTTAATAATATAGAAATCTATATATATTTGATGTTGAAACAAGAAATTGGGCAAACACACGACGAGCAGCAAACACATTTTTTGCGCGAGGGGCTTTTCCCTTGAGAAGGAAACGAGGACGAAGGATCAACAAGGAGTTGCTATCGAAATTTTAATAGGAGACGATTTTTAAACCAAGCGAATAGCGATCGCTCACAAGAAACTTTTAGCAATATTTTTGTTCGGGGTAAACAGGATACACACAGTCTCTAAAAATCACAAATAAATATTTGCATCACAATTGGCAGATATTTTCCTCGGAAAATCACCGTTTTTCCTGTCCCATTTTGCAGTTTCTCAGCTCCGGGAAACAAAACTTTTAAATGCATTAATTTTACTAGCCACGCGAAGGGGAAAGCGTATATATTTATGAACAAACCACACACGGTATGGTAATTGCAGAGTGTCAAGCGAATTAAACATTAAATACAACTTATACATACATATATATATTGAAGAGGCGGATGGGCAAGATCATATTATCATACATAGTATTATATCACTTTTGGCTCTTTTCGGGCCCGATTCGATTAATTGTAGATGTCCTAGCGATAAAACTGAATACAATTATCAAAAATTCCAATTTTATTCAAGAATATCTTTCAACTTGTTTTGTTTTGATTTCCAAATTAAAACTTAAACTTCTTAGAACAATTAATTCTGTATTTGGGTTCTGCAACATTTCTATTTCTGAGTGAAAATGCGATTGGCATGTAAGAGAAATCGATATGATCGACGATTTATCGATAATATGGCAAAAGTAAGTGAAATAATAAGAAAGTAATTCTCTTATTCTCTTTTCAATCCACTTGTACATTTATATTACTCATTTTACTCAGCCCCCCATTTGGTTTTTGTGAATGAAGAGAAAAAACAAAACAAAATATAAATAAAAATATTAAAACAAAAAAGAAAAACACATTTTGTGATATAGCCTAGCAGGAGCAACAACCAGAGAAGCGCATGAAAATCCTGAAAATCGGAAAATTGGACCGGAAGAAACTTTAGCAGCTGGACAACAGCCACAATCGATCTCACTTTGACAAAAAATGGGGTTCGCAATTGAAAAATAAGAACAGAAAACAAAAACATAAAAGAAATCAAAAAGAAAAAACAAAGCATAAAATAAATCATACAATAGGCCAATACCAACGTTTTAGCAATCTAAGTCTAAGAAGGAAACTAATCGAAATTTTCTTTACAATAATAATAAAAAAAAACTAAACTAAAAACTGAACTAAAAACTAAATATAAAATAACGTTTGTAAACCTTGTGCGTGTGTGTGTAAAACAGTAGTGCTATCTAAATATAATACTGATCAGATATCGCATAATGCATCAAACCCTATATAAGTACGAGTACATACATATTAAAAACAACAAAAAACAAAGAGAAAGTATAAACTATATTTGTGTGTTTGATGTCAGTCTAAAAACTAAATGTTAAAGTCAACTAACGATCACGTAATTGTATTGCATAGCCTAACATTTTTTGAACGAAGCAAACCAAGTCGATTCGATTTAGCATGAGTATCAACTTTATACTATATATATACATATATATATATATATATATACATAACGACTAGAAGAAGCGAAAGTGGTGAGAACACGAAAACGATAAACCGAACGAACGAAAGCAAAAACCAAAAACGGAAGCGGAAGCTGGCAGATCGATAGATCGGAGTCGTGAATGACGGGCAAAACAATTAAAAATTACTATACAAAAATCGAATACAGATCTAAGTGTTTTTTCTGGGCGGTATAAAATACTTCAGTTTATTTTGGCATAAAATATGTGTTCATATTATTATTTACTTAACCTTAGTCCTTTTTATACAATTTCTCTCTTATTTATATTTTGATCAGCGGCAGCACTGCGTATACGTGATATTTCTATTAAGTTTTTCCATACAATTTCTAAAAATACTGGCATCAATTCTTCAATATTTGATTTGTAGAGCACTAGTATTAAGGTTTTCACAACAAATTCAAATTAAATCAAATTAGCCATCCGAAATAAACGGTGCTAGGGCAACACTGCGTATACGTGATATTTCTTTAAAGTTTTTCCAAAAAATGTCTAAAAATACTTGTAAAAATTCTTCAATATTTAATTTATAGAGCACTAGTATTTAGTTTCTTACAATAAAACTCAAATTACATCAAATTAGCAATCCGAAATGAACGGTGCTAGGGCAGCACTGCGTATACGTGATATTTCTCTAAAGTTTTTCTAAAAATATTGCCATAAATTCCTAATTATTTGATTTGTGTAGCGCTAGAATTTGGTTTCCCACATCAAATTTAAATCAATTTAAATATATAAACCGAAATCAAGCAAAGAAAGGCTAAGTCAACACTGCGTATGAGTAATTTTTTAAATATCTTTTCTATACCCATGCAGGGTGTTATAATTTCAGTCAAAAGCTTAAAACGCAGTGAAGGAGCCATTTCCGACCCTATAAATCATATATATTCTTGATCAGAATCAACAGACGAATCTCTCTAGGCATGTAGGAAGGGGAAAAAATTTTGAAAATTTTTTCAACTTTTTTAAGGGGTTACATCGTTAAAATTAAAAAAAAAAATTGGCAAAAATTAAAATTTTTTTAAATAATAAATTTAGTGTGAAGATTTATTAATCTTATCAAAAATAACATTGGACTGCTTTCCGAATTAAAATTAATGCATTTTTGGATGACTTATGATGGATTTAAAAGTCAAATTTCCCTATTTCCAGCTTCATGGGTATACAAACATCGGCAAACATAGATAAATTTGTATATATCTTTTTATTTAATATAGTACAAGAAAATACCGAAACTTTACTTCATTTTTCAAGCAAATCCAAGTACAGTTTTCTATGAGACTCTTGGTGCATAGAAAAACAAGCAAAGTTCCCTCGTCCACCCATCTATGAAAAAATTAGGAAATATCGTTTACTTTTAGTACTTTTGGAATAAAAATAAACAACGCAGTAACACCAAAGCGCCCTCAATCGGTTGTTTTCACAAGCATTTCTTTGATAACGGTAACGGATGCCATTATCCTTTAGCTTTCGACGAATATCCAATAGAGGTCGCTTTGCAGCGACTGCCTCTCGCTGCCAGTGAGCATCTACAGCTGCTGCTTTCTCTCGCTTTCTGACTGCCTCTCGCTGTTTCTCTGCCTCAGCCCGGCAACCGATGGCTTCAACTTCAATGTTTACATTTTAACGACCTGCACACACACGCACACACATACAAACACCGCAAGCCAGGAAGGCAGTTTCGGTCCTGTATGTGGCGTTCGGGCTGCGAACCGAATCCTTTTGCCGTTCGGCTCTCAGCTGCTGCTGCCGGCGCCAGCGTCGCTGCTTTCGGCGGTGCTTTCGCCGCTGCCATCGCCACAGTGGCTCCGTTATTTGTGCGTGCGCGTTGCCAATAAACGGGCAGCGGCCTCTGCTCTGCTCTGCTCTCGTGTGATAAAAAAATGTGAATTCCTCTGGACTCCGATTGACCGTCAGCCGTTAACTGTCAGCTAATTGAGCAGCAGTGTGTGTGTTCCGCTTTAAATTCGGTATTTAAAATGTCTATTTGGTGTTGAGTGTGTGCTTGAGCGATGGCCCCAAAATGTAGGCAACAAAAAAGGTTGTGCGAAACATCCAAGCAAGCAGCTTCCTCATACGCTCTCCGGCTCAGACACTAGCGATGGTCTCTCTCTCTCTCTCTCTCCGGATTCCTGTGCAGCGCAATGGTTTTGTGTTATACACAGGACACACGGTTACCAATACGACCGCAAAAATACGGGACTGGATACCGTAACTTGGCTTGCGCCCACGCACAAACACATCCTCAGTGGGAGAGCGCTCTCTCTCGCGGTCGCGCTCATCCGCTCTCGCGTTGGTTCCTCTTAGTTGCACAGTGGGTCGCAATGGATTATTTGTTGAGTTAGGAATTAATTTAATAATGATTTACAATGACTTCATAATTTGTAGAATTTTTAATGCTTTGGTTTTCATAAAAACGTAAACTATAGGGCATTTTAAAAAAACCAAAATCAAAATATTTGTATTACTTGTTGATCATATTTGCTACAAACAAAATAACAAGAATATTAAAGCCTTAATAGTGGTTTTAAAATTTCAATTAATAAACTTCATCGAGAATAAAAAGGTATTATTATTATTTTAATAATTAATTAAATAGTTTAAAGATTTAATTCGGAGACATCCAACTCAAAGAGATAAAAACCCTCATGTGCCCCACTGTGCAGAGAGACAGTGCTCCTGTTTTTGGGATTTTTTGGCTACTTTTTTTTGGGTGAACTGAAATGATGTTGACTCAACGTGCCAGCAGCAGCCAGCCAGCCAGGCGCTAACGGTAAAAGCAACAACGCCAGCAGCAGCAGCAATCACAACAAAAGCAGCAACAACCTAACAACGGGACAATAACTACGTTGTAGTTGTTAGTCAGTTTCGTTGGACTTTTTAATTTAAGTGCATTTTCCGTGCTGCTTGGCAAATAACTAACGCAAAATTAAACATATTGTGCGCAGAAATTTAACCGTGAAGGCGGAACTAGAAAGTGCGGTGAAGAAAATCCCTAAAGTGAGAGGAAACGAAAAAATGAAATAACGCTAAACGTCAAAGAGAGAGAGGCAGGGAGAGAGACAGAGAGAGCGAGAGAGGCGAAATATTCGCAATTCATTCACAAGTGCAATGTGAACAATAACAACAACAACAATGGCCAGAAAATAGAGCGGCTTAGGATGCAAAAACAACAAGAAAAACAAAATAAGAAAAGAATACAAATGCAAAAAAAATGAGTGAAGCGCGTGCTTAACCTAAAAGTGCAAAACCACTCGCACAAGCACACGCGAATACACAAACACCAACACATAAAAAGCAGTCACACTCAATTCGTTCTCTTTGTTTTCTTCCACTTCCGGTATCCAGAGACAACAACAACTAAAGCAACAATATCGAAATAATAATAACAACAACAATGCATAGTTCCTGCTGAGTAGCTTTTTGTATAATCGAATGAATGTGTATGTGTATGTGTGTGTGTGAGTTATCCAAGGTAAAAGAGATGAAACAACAACAACCAAACACTGCCGCCTACAAACAATAAGATAGCAACAACAACAACAGTCGCCAAAGACAAAGCAAAGAGGACTTGCAAAAGAAGATGACGAAGAACAACCAAGACCGGAAAAGGAAGAGCAACCAAAGTGTGTAGAAGAAGTAGTCGCAGCAGCAGCAAAAGAAGAAATAGAAAAGAACCCAGCCCCTTGTAGCTAGTTGAAATTGACTAGAAAAAAATAACAATAAGCTAAAAAAAATATATATACAACTTGAGCCACAAAACTGCACAAAACTTAACAAACTAACAACAATAAATATACTATATATAAAGAAAATACGGTATAATGGAGCACTAACAACAACTACCACAACAACACCAACAACAATATACAACAACGAAACGATAACTGAAAACTTCCGAGCAAATGCTAAAACTGAAAAACTTCCCATTTCGCTGTTAAACCAAAGTAAAACGATCATAAATAATAATAAAGAAATCAACTCAACGGCAACTATAAGTTAATTAGAACGTTTATTAATGTTACATCTATCGAGAACTCTAAGTTATATTCAAGAAAAATCAACCTAACTCGCACTTAAAACTTGAAACTTATAGCAAAAACAATATAAAACACAAATTTAACTTATTATGTTATTCAGTACATAACGTCAATGTATATCTTAGATCATTTTAAATAATACGAGCAAACAAAGTTAACGGAAAAAGTTCTTACTATCGCATAACTGTAACCTATAAGTATTGATAATGATATTTAAAACATAACAATGATCAACCATTTACAATCAACTAACTAAAACTCACAAGAAGAATTTGGCAAACATTAATTAGTCATATTTCAAAATTATCAACGACAAGTTTGAAAGCTTCAAGGAAACCTTGAATTGAAATTGAAATCAATAAACTGATGATACAAATTATTCATATTCGATCGGAAAACAATTGACAAAAGCAATGATGAACCTCTTTGACATTATTCACAAACGATTCTAAGATTACAACCAATTAGAAAAGGTAATGGAAGTACTTAGTTTCAAAAGCCACCAAAGTCTTTAGCTAATCGAAAAAAAACACACCAACAACTCACCAACGTATCGCATCAAGGATCAGCAAAGAGCCGAAAGTATTATTAATACTCTTAGTGATGCAATGTTGATCGAAATCAATCAATAAAAGTAATGGAGCTAGTTCGTCTAAAGAGTCTTTAACAAAAAACCCTTCTCACCAACAACTCACCAACACCCCAAAGCCCCAAACCAAACCAGAGAAGATGGAGCGAATGTGGCGAAAGGTAAACCATAGTCTGCGTAACACCAACAAATCCCAGGGCCATCAGCAACCACAACAACTGCTCCAGCAGCAGCCTGGAGGCGATGGGGTCATCGTTGGTGGCACCGCAGCCACTCCCCAGTCCACCGATACCATCAGTTCGGCGGGTGGCTTTGGCGATGGCCAGCTGGTGGTTGCAGTCCAGGGACTAGCCTCCGGCGGAACATCTGGTGCCATCACTGCCACCGGTGGCTGCAATGCCACCGGCAGACGTCTAGCCAGCAGCGGAGGTGGCGGCAGTTGCCACAAATCCCTCAGCCAACATGTCCTTCAAACGCGCACCGCATCCTCGGAGCGGCGAAGGCGTCGCCGAAGGAAGAGTAGACCGCGTCGCGGTGGCGGTATGGGAGCGGTTACCAGTTGCGTTGGCGATCCAGGCGGTGATAATATGTCGTAAGTGATGGATATAGATTTAAAGCTATATAGATTTTAAGTTAAATTTTGACACGCTTTCCCTGGCAGCTCCTCTGGTGGCTTCTATACCCTGAAGGACCACCATCAGCACCACTATCGACCCAGTCACCATCATGGCGGTGGCATTATAGGCGGTGGTGGTGGCTCATCGAGGCGCCTGTTTGCCACCTCGGCGCCCAGTGGCACTGTGATGATGTATCCAAATTCCCAGCGAGCAACGCTTCTAGCAGCCGCTGGAGGATCTGGTGCCGGTCAGGCATCTACCTCGGGTGCAGGAGGAGGAGGTGGAGCAGGAGGAGGAGGAACAGGAGGTGGTGGAGGAGCTGGAACCGGATCTGGAGGACAGCCGGACATCTCGCTGCGACAGCGGGCGGTGGCCAAGTTACGAATGTTCAACTTCCATTTGAACTGGGATCTGCACATGACGCACTGCAAGCCCTGCGGGTGAGTGGCATTAGCAGATACACTGACAGAAAACCAAATCATATCCTTTTTGTGGAAAGATATAACTTGAATTTAGAGGCTTAAAATGATTATTTTATTTACTTGTATCTGTGGAAATTCCCTTTAAATTGAAAGACTCTTTAGGCTCATTTTTTGTCAAGTGTAGCCTTTAACTGGAGTTTGCTGCAACTGGGGTAGCTCCAGTGAGTTGGAGTGCCCAAGTGGCTGCCACTTGAGTCTGCTCCAGTGGCTTGTGCTTTTGTTTGCCGCAGAGTTTTCCCTGGCTTTCCTCCTATTTCATTTTTTTTTTTGTTTTTTTGCTTGTTGCTGCTGTTCCCTCTTCACTTTCCCTACGTTTTGCTCCTCCTGGCCCACATATTTCCCCAACATTTTTCCGACCGCCGACCCCTCAAAGTTTTTCATTTGGTTGTGTTGTTTGTGGCTTCTGGTTAAGTTTTTTTTGGGGGCGGGTTGCAACTGAGTTTTTTGAGCCATTCAAGTGGCCGCGGGCGTTGAACGAACCCAGAATGCAAAGTGGGTCGTCGTCATTCCAGTCCCTCCCGTTTTTCCGTTCCATAGCACCATGGTTGCTCCATGGACGTAATATTCGTAGGCCCAGACCCACCGACATCCGGACATCCGGACATCGGTGGGTGCATCATAATAAGGTAAATGGAGCAGAGTTTTCTTTACCGCCGAATGTGTGAAATTTTAATGAAGCCTCGCCTCCGCCCCAGCAGCTAACGAGCTTCTCCATTGGTGTCACTACCCTATATTATATATAAGTATATATCTCTATTTTTTTGGGTGTATAAAGTCATGGGAGGTACGCAAGCCATCAGAGAAATCAAACTGATGGCGTACTAGTTTATTTTAGCCACATTTTATCCGTACTTTTTATATGTATGCACCATTTATTTATAATAATATTAATGACAATCTTTGCAGACCTCGACTGAGTGGCAGTGGTGGCAATATAATTACCCGCCGTCTGTGTCGAAACCGTCGGCGGGAGGACAATGAGCTGTACCGCTCCAACAGCTTCAAGTTCGAGCGTTTCGAGCGGAAGGAGTGCCTCGAGGAGCTGTCCAACACGTTGCAGAAACAGGTGAGTGTTTGTTTTTCCAAAACATATACTTATAAAGAGCTCTTGAAAGCGCTATGTACTTATATTCTGAAGTCTTAATTAAGGCAAAATAATTATAAAATAGACTGAGTTGCAAATGGTTCATTTGATAAAATTATTATTATTTGATTTAAATATCTGAAAAAGCATATCTCTTAATGTGGTTTTATAGGAGTTCTCAAGTATTAATAATGGCAAAACTATTCTTAAATATTAATAGATATTAGTAGTCTATTAATAATACATTTCTAATGCGTTTGTTTAAAGAGTACCTGTATTGCAAATAAGCAAATCATATACTATAACTCATAATTATTAATTTCGAAGAAACCCATTACAATTTTTATAACTCTTTCGCGGAAACGTTTATTTTTGCCAGTGTTGCATAGCCACATGTTGCACATCTTATATGTACGTTGCCGAATCAGCATCAGTTGCGGCGTTGGCCACACTAATTAGTGCGACTGCAGCATGGGTAGGGGGTCAAAAGAAAAACTAACCATCATCTAGAGAGAGATATTGGGGGTAAATTGCATTGAGATGGCCGGGCAAGTGTGGAATAATAATGGGATGTGGCAAGGTCTCAGGTGGCAAAGAAAAGTTCAATTCTCCTTCGACAGGGGCGGCGGGGGAATCTAATTAATGGCGCGCAACAAATTGAATTTTAATTGGGCGTCGAATTTGATTTGGCAGTCCAAAAACGACTAGAGTTCTGGGATCCCCCTCCCCAGGTGCGCCGCAGCCCCTCGATAACAAAGTTAAATTGAAATTGAACCTGGCGGCAAACGGAGGATGCAGCCAGCAAGTGGCCAGGCCAGGCGCCTTCGGGCCGGGCTTAATTAATATTTAAACGTAATTAAAGACAGGGCCTAATAAGGTTACCCAAAAAAAGAAATCCCCCCTAGATGCCAGGTGAACGGACGACACTTGGCAGGAAGTAAATTAGGGAAATTACTTTCACCAAAAGTGGAATATTTAAAATTGGGGATTGCTCCTTAGCTATTTATATATTTTTGTAAATTTTATAATTTGAAATTACACATTCCTTAAAGTTCATAGTATTTTTTTCAGTATTTTTAAGGCTTTCTTTTTCTGATTTTTCAATACTTTTAACTTTTAAATATTTTTATGGTTTCCAGTTCCCAAATATTAATTTTTAAATATTTTAGGGCTTTATTTTGATTATTTTCAAAGCTTTTTGGGAGTTTTTAGCACGCTTTTTTATTTTTAACTTAAAAATAGGACTGCAAACTCTTAAAAAATACTCTCTTTTCTTAGTTCCTTTAAAATATTATTTAGAAAACTTATCTACAATGTCGTGAGAGAATTTATACCATTAAAACTTGAAGGATTTAAGCCTGGGGCACGACTGAGAAGCTCCCAACACCCACCTCAACCTCAAGCGTTTTCACTGCTAATGCGATTTCTCGTTTGGGGGAAACTTCAAGTTTTCTTTTATTTTTTTGTATAATATAGCACGCCTTCGGGCGCAAAAAGGGGGATTTCCCGGGAATGGATGTGCTGGGCTTAGTACCCGTGGAAAGGGATGAGGAAGAGAGTGACAGGCGGCCATTTATCAGCCGGCAAAACGTTGTCTAAGTACGTTGCGGTTGTTGCGGCAAAAGAGCACTTCAAATCGCGCACTGTCTCGCCGCCTCATCATCATCCTGTCTCCTGTCCATCCATCTATATATATCCTATATATCCTAGAAGCTGCTCTCCCGCACCAACTGTCAGCTGTCCGAACCCATAAGCTGCGTGGACAGTGAGACCCATCCACAGGCGAAACCGAAACCCCAACGAAATCCGAAACTCCAAAGCCGGAAGTCCAATCTCACCTGCCGCAGTTCTCTCGATAAATAAATAAGCAGCAGGAGGAAAGCCTCTGCTGATTTTCCCCGATTCCCCAAACCAATCTGGCGGATTCTTTCGGATTTTGATGGATCTATCAGGTGTGTGTGTGTTTGTGTGTGTGTGTTGGCTCACTCCACAAGGACACCGGTGGCACTCTCACTAATCAGGTGAAGGAGTCACAGTCCCTCGATATTTCCCCTCCCAACCACTTGTGGCTGTCTTTGTCAATTTTCCACACAAAAATAATGCAAAATGGGAAAAAGAAAAACCCCCTGGAAAAGTGTGTAGCCAGAGACAAATGGCATTGGAAAATTTTTTCCTCCCTCCCCCTCCCCCCCAAAAAAATAAAGGAAAACTCCGCCTTTTTGGCTAAATAAAAACTTTGAAATTGTTTCCATAATCGGGGAACACCTTATCGAAGGAAAAGTAGGAGGCAGCACCAACATTGGGGAATTAAATTCGACTTTGATTGAACTTTATTCAAATTAGATTGACTGTAAAATCAGTTTACATCAAATTTTTAAGGGAGGAGCGGGTGGTCAATGGGCTTTGGCCCATTTGAAAGTTAATAAAGAGGGCGTTTTTTTATTTTTTACAAGGGAAATCCCCTAAAAGTGAGACTAAAATTGGCTACAAATGGATTATGTTTAAAGGTTATAAGAGGGATTTTTCAGGGTTACTTAAATTATTATTTTTGGCAATAAAAATAAACCATAAATAGTGTAGGATATAAATTTGTTAGTAATTTGTTGTATTACTTAATGCATAGTTTCTAAGACTCCTTTTATAAATAATCTTTAAATGTATCTTAAACGTTTATAGTATCTTCTTTGGCTTTTTAGAAACATTTTTAATATATTTTATTATAATTCCAAAGTGTTCGGTGATTTTAATTTCTTTTCATTAAGTTTACCAGCTTAATTCTTGTTCTTTTATTCCCCTTCTTAATTAGATTTTCAATTTTGTATTAAAACTATAAGTATTCATTAGTAAAATCACCCCAAAATCATTTGTAAAGCTTATAATTCCCAACTGGTGCTTGCATAAGTAAATTTTCCGTTAAAATTATTTAACTTAGTCAACTTTCCTAAATTCTCCTTTTTAGTTCCCTTAAAATTCATTATGAAAATTAGTACATCATTGATAAAACCCTCGAAATGTCTTCTTTAACACTCTAAAATCATTTGTTATGCTTATAATTCCCAAAACCGGTGGATGCGTCAGTTCAATTTCTGCCTCATTTAAGGGCCTTCATTTGTCAGTGTTCACCTTTTTTGACCTCCTCCCCAAGTACCTTACTCTCCCACCAACCATCTCCATTTTCTTGATATTTTCACACACACACACCCCGTCGACAGGCTGCCATTGTCCCAAATAATTTCCATCATCTAATGCCTTATCTTTGGGGCCAGCAAGTATCTGAATGTTTTGGAAAGAGAAATTACCCGCCTACGCATTATTTTTGATGGCACAATTTTGAGCATCACCGTGCTCAGTGATCTGTGTGTATGCGCCTGGCAATCATTAGCCCCTCCCCCTCCTAAGAATGTCCTGGGTCCTGGGTCCTTCATCGCTTTATTCATGCAACAATTGTTGATTGCCAGGGCATCTTTTGGCTTTGGGGGATGGAAAGGCTTCTCCATCTCGTTCCCTGCCTCAAACCCCCCATTTGTTGCGTGTGAATTATTGTTGGCAATAACGTGGAATTGCCTTGTCAGTCAGCAATCTGCAAAAGAAGTGAAGTGAAGGCTCGCTTTTGCTCACTGACGACTGACTGGCAAGGACCTTAAGTAGTAACTTGGACCTCTTCTACACGAGGTTATAGTTGGCACGAACAGGTTAAGTTGCGCAATAAAATCAGTTAATTTCCAAAGCCTCCCAAAGAGAGAGAGACTTCTTCCACTCCCTGTACTTTTTCGCGCAAAACCTACTTACAAATTTAATCAAACACACGTGGGGGGGGGGAGGGAAAGGGGAGCTGGTAACTGGTTGCACCCTCAACCCAGTTGGCGCTCTAAATAATTCATGTCGCCAGCATTTCAGCTGCAAAACCTTTCCAACTTGTTGTAATACATTCAAATGAGACTCAGACTGAGAGAGAGGGGGGATGAAAAATATAAGGATGTTGGAAGGATGGCCAGAAGACTCAGAAGAAGGCAAAAACATGTGACTCACCTACATACATATGAGAGAGATGAGGAAATCTCAAGTTGGTACACATAAACTACTCCAAACTAAATTACAAACAAGGGAGAGAAACGTAGAAAGAATTCTGTACAAGCTAACAAGGATCGAAGGATTTTTTGACTTGAGCCAAAATAAAGTTGTGTGAATAACAGAAACTTATTTCCCTTGCCTAAGATTCTTGACTAACAAATAGGTTAAATATATAGGAAAAAAAATCAATTCAATATTTCTAATAATTATCCATTCAGAGCTTCTACCTTAAGTTCCCCTTTTCCTGAGAATAATCTGCGGCGTCATGCACCATTCTTTACTCTACTCCAAATCCACATCCACATCCACATCCCACCTCGATTTCCATCTCCTACACCTCCATCTTAATCCCTATACTCCGCCCGCCGCATTATTTGGCGCACTAAATTTATGTGCGCAATTGTGCTGAGTTGTGTGGCAGGAACGCCCCAAAAAACACCAGCAGGATGTGCTTCTCCCCCCCCCCACTCACACATCCCTATATATATATATATATACCCAACTCCCACCATCCTTTTTCTGCGTTGCAGCTTTTGGAATGTATTACATGCCTTTGTGCTCTAGCACCGAAAGAAAATGTTTTGCAAGTCTATTTGAAAAGTTTGGAGAAAAATTGGGAGCTAAGAAGAGATTTATTTTGTGTGGGGTTTAATTAAACCTAAAATTATATGAATTTTTAATAAATATTTCTATATGCAAATTTTTTGGTTAAATTAAACCTTTTCAAATATCATAACTAAGCCAAAAATGCATTAATTTCAATGCGAAAATTTATTTTTCTCCCGGACATGCCTAGATCGATTCAGTTTTTCATGCTGATCAAGAATTTATATGATTTCTAGGGTCGGAAATGACTCCTTCATTGAGTTTCAAGCTTCGGACTAAAATTATAATACCCTGAAAAGGTAATA